CCCCAAAACCCCAAAACCCCAAAACCCCAAAACCCCAAAACCCCAAAACCCCTTAGTGAGCTTCTAACATTGAAGAGAGTTTTCAATAATATTTGTAAATACATAATTAATAATCACTAGGGAGTGCTACTTTTAATGCTCATAGGATTTACCACCCTGACTTTTCTTCTGACTCTTTCTTGTCATTGTTGCCCCATGAAGATCCTCCATTGTCGTTATTTCCCCAGGATGATCCTTTATCCTCTTTTTTGTTTTTGTCCCAGGATGATCCTTTGCCTTCTTTGTCGTTGTTTCCCCAGGATGATCCTCCTTCGTTGGCATTACCCCCAAACGAGACTTGGCCTCCTTTATTCCCCCAGCTAGAGCCTCCTCCATTATCGTTGTCCTTATTTGCTCCCCAAGAAGAGCCTCCACCATTATCATTATTGTTATTTGCTCCCCATGAAGAAGACTCTTTCTTATCATTACCCCATGCTGATCCTCCTCCTGGGGCTCCCCATGAACTTCCTTGGTTATCTCCTCCGAAGCCATCTTTGCTCTCTTCTTTAGTGTTTCCGCCCCAAGAGCCTCCACCATTATCATTGTCATAATCATTTCTTCTTCCGCCTCTTCCTCTTCCAAATCTGCCTCCTCTTCCACCTCTTCTATCATCATTAGAGTCTTTGTTAGGGCATTCTCTAGCGAAGTGGCCTGGTTCACCACAGTTGAAGCAGGACCTATCTCCTCCTCCACCGCCTCTTCCTCTTCCACCTCTGAAGCCTCCGTCATTATCGTCCCTGTCTCTAAATCTTCCACCTCTGAAGCCTCCGTCATTATCGTCCCTGTCTCTAAATCTTCCTCTTCCTCTACCTCTGAAGCCACCTCTGTCGCCTCTGCCAGAGGATTGGCCGAAGGAGCCTCCTCCACCGCTGCCTCCCCAGCCACCATCATCATTGTCGTTGCCCCAGCCAGTTTCTTTCTTAATAGGAGCTTCCTTCTTGACAGGTTCATCGCCCCATCCATCTGTGTCTGGATTCTCATGTGTAGAGAATTGAGCTCCATGGTGACTACTCATGTTCCAGTCTGACTGCGGCACATCTCCAACATAATTAGTCTTAGCAGGGAAAGGGGTTTGATCAACACCTGTGTCTCCCTCCCACTCAGATACTTGTCTAGGAGCTCTCTGTGGAGCAGGCTGGTGAGGATCTGAAGGTTCTTGTTCAATGTCTCTGACAACTCTTACACCAGGAGCCTTCCTTTTCTTACTTTCAACATATTTTCTGTAAGCTTTAGACTGGAAATTCTTCTTAAAGTAAATAACTAGCTCTTCAATAGTTGGCATGACCTTGTCGTGGAAGAAAAATCCATTCGCTTTAATTTTCAGAAACTCTTTCCTAACTTTATCGAAATTGGAGCTTGGAATATAGCCAAGAACTGCATGTTGAGGATACTCAGGAAGAAGCACAAATCCATAGGGGATAGATCTTGGTGCTGCTTTCTTCTGCTTCTTGAGGTAATTCTCAAACTCGATCTCCTTCTCCAACTTCAAAAATTTAGGTGAAGCAATAAGATTTGAAGCTCTCTTTTTCAATTCTCTGATGAATTTAATCTCAACCTCTTTGAGGTCTTGGAACTCTTGGTCTCCGATATGGAACTTGCTAGTGTGCTCATCGACTTTCTCCTCATTGATTTCAATATGAACAATATGATTCCCATAAATTTTAACAGAGAGATTTAGCCATCTTTCTCCTCTAGGGCTAGGTCTGAACACAAAGTCTCCATCTTCTCTTTTTAACTTAGCAATTGCTTGTCCAACTGTGATATTTTGGAAATTTGGGCAGTTCTTAAAAGTTCTCATCTTGTACTTATTTCCAGGTCCATATCTTTCAGTAGACTCAGTCACAATCTTCATTGGGGCATCTTTGATGACATCTACTTTAAAATGAGGTCTGAAAATCTGAGGAATTCTCTCTTGCATCTCTTTCTCAGTGACATTCTCCTCCATTGCAGAAATAGAAACTGATAGTCTATCATACTCGATCTTCAAAATTCTTCCAGTGATTACATATCCTGGATTCATCAAGTTATGAAGCTTTCTGTGCGCATTATCTTTGTGGAGGAAGGCAGTCCAATTACTCTTGGTCAGACTTCTACAAGCGACTACATCCTCTTTAATCTGCCTTGTAATCATGCAGGGAACGAATAAGCCTTCATAGAAGTTGTCTCTATTCTCACCAGTGAGCATGAAGAAGATATTAGTATCTTGGTTGATGATCTTATTCTCATACTCAGAGTACTCTCCTCTGATGTCTCTGAAAGGACTCTCAAGTTCGTCTCTGATGAAGTAGAAAATACTCTTATAATCCTTCCCAAACATAGACTCACATCTTTGACTAAATTGCTCAAGATCAAGTTGTCTCAATTTTGAAGGATCTTTTAGGATAGCCTTTACTGAATTTTCACCTGATATTTCATCATCATCCAAGGCAGTTTTTGCAATCTTGGTAGCGATAGAGTAGAACTCAGGATGAATCCTCGTGCAGTCAAGGGCTTTATGATCCATTCTTCCCTTCACCTTCTTGAATTTAGAAGCATTAGTGAATCCAACAACGTTGTAATGGACATGAGGGGGAAGCACAATTGTCGAAGTTCTGAAGGAAATATTCTCTTCGTTAACTAAGAACTTCCTCAAAAACTCAGCTCCCTTGATCTCACCTAATCCTGAGAGGAATGGAACTCAGAATTGCAAGTTATTGTTCATGACTGTATGGTAGAGATCCACTCCAATGTTGTTTACAGAGAGAACAGCTGTGTTTCTAAGCACATCAATCATTCTGCTCTTTGGAATAGCGTCTTGGAACTCGTGGAAGTGCAGGTTTAGCAGCTGCATGTTCTCTCCTTCCATCTCACTCCATAATCTAAGAGTTTCGTTCAAAGGAGATTGCTTAAATCTAGCCAAAGAAACTCCCTGCTTCACTTCAATGGGATAGTTTTTAAGATCTTGGTCATAATTTGGTGATTGAGTAGCCATATATGGAGCATCCATTTTTCCATAAGAGATCCATGGCTCGTGACCCATCTGAGCAATTGTATTGCTATCGTCAATAATTCTCTCCTTAATGAGCTTTTTGAGGTTTCTAGATTCAGGACCATGAGCTGGAACGATTATAAGTCCAACTTTACTCTCCCAGATAAAATCTTTCAGTTTCTTGATATCAGCTTCGTAAGATTCTGGAGCATTCTTCTCTGCATATGGGAGCATCAGATAGCTGAAAGCATGGTGATTTCTATAATCTCCAAATTCGTTGACGTGAACTGCAGTGAGAACAGGCTTTCCAATATTTTCATAAATGATCGATATCATATGGCATGCCTTCTTTTGGAATAGATATGGAGGAATCATCAAATACTCCTTCATAAAATTCTCCTTGACCTTTGAAATCACGAACTCGATTGCGTTTTCTCTAAGTTCTTGGTCTGCTCTTTTCTCTAGGTCAGGTAGGAGAAGTTTAAGAACGACTCTCTCAATAATTTCATTATAAAATGTCCTCCATTCTTTCTCATTCCTGTCTGTTGGGTCAGATTCTAGATAGTAGTTCTTCATGAAGTCAATGGTGTCGATAAGGATTCTCTCATGCTCATAGATTATCTCAATAAGCCCTCTTTCCTTTGCCCTTTGGATTCTGAGCCAAGTATCATCTTTGAACTTATCAATCGGGACAATTTTTAGTCTTTTTATTTTATAGTCAGGATGGAAGCAATCTAATTCAGACTCGCCTTTTTCAGTTGGTTCAGTTGAAATTCTAAGCCCTTGCATATATCGATCTCTGACAAACTTTCTAATACTTGGATGTGCAGCCATCTCATCACCTATCAGAGTACAAGCTAGGACAAGAACTTCCAGCACATTTGAGTATGTTTCACAAATATACCTTTTTGCTAATTCTGATGGCTTCTCAGACCTTCTAGGCACTTTGTTGACTCAATTCTGAACTTTCAGATTCTGTGCGAATTCATGTGGAGGCATTGAGATTTCTCGTGCAAATTTGTCAATATCATTCTCAGCCATCTTTAAGTACGACTTTCTCTTTGCATCTCTCATTCTAGACATCTCTTCTCTGAACTCAGGTATGAAGTTCTTTCAGAAAGTGAGGTAGAGGTTTACATCATGGAGGTCATAAGTAGTCATACAGTTCTCTACACAGATTTCAAGTTCTTGCTTGCCTGGGATCTTATCAATAACTTGCTTCACCTTTTTGATAAGACTCTTTTTAGTTTTGATGAAATTGTCCCACTCGAGATCCATCTCATAGATATCGTAGAAATCGCTTCTCTGAAGTTCATGTTGGAAGAGGTAATATCTGTATGTGGCAATGAAGGGGATATCAAAGTGATTCTTTCTAAAATGTGAAAGTACTTCGTTGATTTTCAGTACCATCCTTTCTTCACCTACACTGTTGCCCTTCCAGTGTTTCTTGTACTTGTAAATCCAAGCAGCTTCAAGCTCAAGCTCTTGGTCTGATGGTTTGAGTCTATCCTTGAGTCTGATATAAATTCTTTCAGGGATGTTTATTTCAATGATCTCCTTTCTCCAACTAGAGTCTCTGAATCTGCTCATAGCGCTATTATCTCTAATAGTCAGTTCCTTCTCTTCTTCATCCTTCATCTCAATTTTCTCATCTTCATCATCACTGCTATCAAAGATATCCTTAAAAACGCTAATTTGCTTTTGCTTGTGCAGCTCTTCCTCGGTTGGTTCACGGTGCTGCTCGTCTCTCTCACTGACCTCATCATCATACCTCTGTGAAGCTTCTTCTTCCTTCAATTTCTCTCTATTCTTCTTAATCCTCTTCCTCTTGCCAGATCCTTGCTTGTTTTCATTGACTAGGGCAAGATCTTCTTCGTCAAACTCTTCTTCTTCCTCTTCTCTCTTCCTTCTGCGTTTCTTCCTCTTCTTCTTATCAGTTTTCTCTTCGTACTCGTCGAAGGACCTGTCGTCGATGAAGCCATCGTCTTCATACTGATCTTCGTTCTCGATGTCTTCGCCTTCAGCTTCGAGGGACTGTTGGGATTGGTCGTCTTCCATATCGGCCATTTTTAGTTTTTATTATTTAGCCAGCCCTATGGCCTATAGGGGTTTTGGGGTTTTGGGGTTTTGGGGTTTTGGGGTTTTGGGG